GTTTTATAGATTGCTTTTACCAGATAAAGGAGGAAAAGGCTAGGTTTACATCACAATGAAGATCTAACAGTAGTATAATACTTTATGTTAGGCACAGTGCTTCGTCTCATGTCATTTAGGGATGTTGGTTGCTGGCACTGCAGGAAGGATATAGAGACTCAGAATGGCAGAGAGGTCGTAAGTCCAGGAAGGATTCATACAGGCTTGGGAGATAGGCAGGAACCAAGGAAAGGCTGGAGGGCTGGGCAGCAGGATCCATAGCAGAAGCCGTGCTGCAGAAGCCACCTGCTGCTGCTGCAGTGAATGACGAGTAAAACCTCCATCCGTCACTACCTGCTTCCATCACCTCCCAGAGTGTTCCCACTCCTGCCTTTCTTGGGATGGAGAGAGAGCAGATCTGTCTCCTTTGGATTCTGTAATGGAAATTGGGCACCACTTGTCATAAGAGTATGTATAACTGGGGATTCCTTAAAAGGGAGATCAGGTGCAAAGAGGAACAGGTCTCTATGCAGGCTAGTGTCCCCTGAAAAAAAATAAAAGACAAATGACCACTGTGGCCCTCCTCGTTGGCTGCCCAGCATTCACACACACCTTTCTTATTACCATACCTATGCTTAGGAAAATTAAATGCCGCACCCAACATAATGCAACTCTTGTCTGTATGGCTGCACACATGGTCACTCCCTTCTCAGAGATCTGCTCTCCAAGAAGATCTCCTTTGTCTATTTGTTTTCCATGGCCATATCTGAGATAAGCATTGGGAATATGACTTGGTTGGGGGCTGGCATGCTTTAGCAGTTTTTTTGTATTCTATCGTTAAGTCGCTGTCAGCTGGATTTCCTTGGCAGTATGGCTTGCTTAAAAACGTAGTTGGCTTTTAAGGTTTATTTGCTTTCATGGGCTCCAGTGTAACCAAAACTGGAGACACTGCCAAGTCCCAAGGTTTTGAACCTAGAACTTGGTGTGAGAATTTGTCTCCTGGCCCGGTGCTCTGCAGATTGCTGTAGTTCTTGGTAAGTAGAATCCATCAAGGGCCAGTAAGAAGCTGTAGAGTGGGGTGGTACCTCACATGTGCTGTATCTGCATGGGAAGAGGACTTACCCCTTTCTTAGGCTATAGAAGCAAAACAGTGGGTGCTTGGGATAGGTCACATCTCTTCTGCATCTTCCGTCTCCTGGCAGTGTGACCCCTATGAGCAGTGCCATATGTTTTCCTCTCAGGCCTTTCAGACAGGCCAATTTCACAGCAGCCTTGTCTTTTTCTTGTAGATCCTTAAGGAGTAGCCAGTGCATACTCTCGCATCCTGAATTTTTCTCAAATTCTCAATGTTGCAGGCACAAGGTGCAAGTCTCACGGCAGAACATGGATTAGTCAGTTGTTTCGCTATGAGATAACAAAGATGCTCTTCTTGCCAGTCCAAGAGAGAGCAGGTCCTCCGGCCCTCCACCGTATGCCTTAGTTCAGCCAGTCCATGCTTTTTAGTGCATGACTTATAACACTCCACTTCCTGATCTTGCCAGTCCAAGAGAGAGCAGGTCCTCCGGCCCTCCACTGTATGCCTTAGTTCAGCCAGTCCATGCTTTTTAGTGCATGACTTATAACACTCCACTTCCTGGTACCAGTTTCTTTTGTTAGGTAGGATGATTTCTGTTGCTAGTAATAGAAAATCCAACACGCACTGCGTAAACAATACAGAAAACTAGTTGGCTTACATGATGAAAACTTGAGAGATGGGGGAGGGCGTCAGTGCAATTTGATCCAGAGGCTTCTGAGGTCATCAGGGCTCCAGCACTAATAATTTTCTGTAATTTTCTTGTCCTGCTCTCCTCCATGTGTCACTTCTGCAAGTCATGTCATCCAAAGGTAGAGAAAACCTTTATCTAATATTCTAAGCCATAGTCTTAGGCTGTTACATGCCCAGCCCTGAGTCACTTACAGTGGCTGGGTGATGGAAATGTTTGATTGACTTGACCTAGGTCACATGCTAATTCCTGGCACGTGGGGTAGAATTGGCTGCCCAAGAATAACATGGATTTGCATGGGGGCTGTTGGGAAGGGAGAAGTGGATATACGTATACAGTATATATCAAGCAAAAAGTATCCTCAGTGTTCTACATACATGTTCATTTAATTCTCCCTGTAACCCCATGTGAATTCTTCTGATGGTTTATGGAAATGTTGAGTTAGCAAGCGATTCTGAAATTTGTTCCTGTGGTTAGCATAGCTTCTTCAGAGAAAAACAAATCCGTTTCTTTCGGTGGAGCAAATGTACCAATTAATTCTGTTGAGATGTCAAAGTGAATCAAACCAAGGCTGGAGGTGGTGGTCGCAGTATGGGAAACCAGTCCATGTGCAGGAAGGTATTGGAAGTACCCCTGTGTCATTTCTTGGTGTCCTGTTTTTACATTGAGAATGAGAGAGGCTGTCACTATATACTGCCACAAAGAACCTAGGTGGTGAAAAGATAAAAAACAAAACAAAACTGTGCTTGAATGTCCAAATGAATTTTGGAATTGCCAGGATTGCAGTTTTGCTTTCTTTATTGCTGTATTTTGGTTTTCAAGAGTTGTGTTTTCAAAGTTTTTCCCTTTTTACCAATTGTAACTCAGCATTTGTTTTGCCCTCTACCTCCCTTCAGATTATAAAGTTGGGATGGAAGCATTAAAGATCAGAATCCATACAGACTTTTTTGAAAGTTATGTTTGAAAAGATGGTGAAGCAGATTTAATTACAGAGAAAGATTGGCTGCTTAATTATTGTTACCTGCCCGGAAGCTGTGTTGTCTTTCTGCAGCTGTTTCTATAAATAGACCACATACAGGAATCCACCCCCAGGGCAGAGAGTTTCCATCTACCTCTTTGCTTAATTTAAATTGCTGTTTTGAGGTAGTTATTTTTGAACCCTTCTCAGGTTGACTTCCCCCTTAATCCCTGTGCCTTCTTCCTTCTTCTGCCAAATTATATGTAATGCATCCCAACTAGAGCGCTTTTGGCACTACAAGAGTCTGAGAACTTGAAATTTGATTTAAATGTTAATTTCTTGTGACAAAGGTTGGGCACTCAGTCTGATTCCTGTGCAGGGCTTTCCCGTCCTGGCTGCTGCTGCATGTCCAGAGAATGGCAAGTACCTCCAGCCCAACTGTTTTGTCCTGAAACAGCCTGGCCTACTTCAAACTGCATGAAACCATTCTTGGGGCTACCACTCTTGGGTTTTAGTGGAGTCTGAGACTTTATTCCCAGTGTAGTTAGTATGAAGTTAAAAAAAAACATATACTAACAAAAAAGTTACTCTATTTCCTCTTATGAGTGTTAAATACTTCTTTATTTGGTTGCTCTTATTTATAGGAGAATCTCTTGGTGTTTCTTCGTAGTCCTTTTTGGCTTTTCAGAGCCAAAAGCATTTTTTTTTAATAGAGTCTGAAATAAAGGATATGTTTGTGGATTCATATAAGTTGTTAGGAATTAATAGTAATGAATTACTTAGTAACTAGCCCTTCCCAGTTCTGTTTAAAACAGCCCAAATAAATGTAGTTTCTGTTGCTTCTAAGACCTACTGGATCTTCTAGACTAGAATAGGAAGACATTTATTTCAATTGTAAGATTTAAAGAATCAGACAGACCTTTGTAAGATATAGCATGCCTAGCTGACTCCTTAATGGAGAGAATCAAATGGACTTTCCACTTCAGTATCAGGGGCATTGTATATACGTAAGTTTTATTAGTGTTCTGAAGTATTATTCAGTATTAGTATACTGAAGTTGTATAAAACTTAACTTCTGTATTGGAAACATTTAGAGGGAATGGTCCAGGTGAATTTAGTTGTACATTCTTTCAGTATTAGGAAAAGTAACACAAACATGACCACACACATGTACACACGCAAACACAGCACACACGCATACTCTGCACACTGTCCCGTGTTGATATTTGAAAGAATTTTAGTACTCTTGACAGTGATCAGATTGGAAGCCTTGGAGATTTAGCATAAGATTTAGCTGTTGGGTGGCATCATAGGTGTTAGTAGTGGAGGTAAAATGATGCTTTGGTAGTGTGCCTCTGTTTCCTCTTGGACGTTCACATTGAGCCAATGGGAAACTGTAGTATTTCTGGTCTGTTTGTTGCTTACTAATTTGATTTTGCTGTTATAGTGGCATGTCTGTTGGAATGAGAATTAAGAAAATGGAGGTTACCCTTGGCAGGTTATATTATATAGGCAACCTTTGATTTATAAGTGGGTTGTGTTCTTATCCTCATGCCACTTTTCAGTGCCTGGAATGAAATTTCCTCCCCTAGATGCAGTGTTATAAGTGGTGATTGAGTTCTTAACACCAAAGGCAAAACAATTTGAAGTAACCATAGCAAGTTTCTTAATCTCTTTGAGCATCAGTTTTCTTATCTTAAAACAGGGATAACAATGCCTACCTCATAATTAGTGTAAGGATTAAATTAGTTAATGCATGTAAATTTCTTGGTGTAGCATCTGATATATGGCAAATAACCAATAAATGTTGGCAGCTTCATTTTTTAAACATCATTTCTTGGGAAAATGCATTCTGAATTTCATCATGGAATGCTGGAGGCAATCATCCTCAAGGAAGCAGGTTCATGTAGGTTCAAGTCTGACATTGGTATGCAAGGGCTGAGGGAAAAGGGGTGGGTTGGGTTCTTTTGCTGGAGTTCTGCAACTGTCAGTTGGGGAGAGGAAATGGTTTAAAGAAGAAAATAGAGACCATAGCTTCCTAGTGGCTCTTCCTGTAGATGGACTTTGCCTGGTAGGATGGGCTGGGAAGGAGGTTCATTTGTGGCAGCAGGTTGGCAAACGGGGAAACTGCAGCCAAGTTAGAGTCTCTGACGTAGGTTGTAGGGAGGAAAGGTTGTGACATTTTGTGAGGCTGGTGAAGGTCATTTGCACTACCAGTGTTTCAATTTTCCACTAGTGCCAAAAATTCATCTGAAATAATTTTGCTCATTTAAATTGACCCTTTTCCCTCTCTCTTACAGCAAGAGATCATGGCCAAAATGGAGGTGAAAACATCACTTCTGGACAATATGATTGGAGTTGGAGATATGGTTCTTTTAGAACCGCTCAATGAGGAGACCTTCATCAACAACCTCAAGAAGCGTTTTGACCATAGTGAAATATATGTGAGTACATGTGAAGGTCACCTGTGGTGTTTAGACGATGAATTTTGTGGCGGAGAGCTGACTCTTTCTTCTTCCTCAGACTCTTCTCTGTGTCTGTCGCTTAGAGTCCAGGAGTACCTGCTTATACCCCCAGAAAGAGTTTTGAGTGTTTGCTGATTTGGCACATGAGTGATATTGATTAGAGGCAAGTGAGTCTGCTTTCTAAATGGTGTTTATAGAGTATCAACTGTGTGCAGAATATGGTACTGGATATCGGCGGCATGCCAAAGCAAGTAGAATAGCTTAGTTCCTGCCCTCTGAGGAACATATGTTTAGAAGGAATTTTGAAATCCATAGGTATCTTCTTGGATGTCTTCATAAGATTAGTAAAGTCTAATCATCGAGAAGCTACTTATTAAAATGCAAGACAGTGAACTGTCAAAAAAAAAGACATGAACCTTCTTGACATTTGTAGTTAACACAGACAGATGCAAATTACCAGGTAAGAATATATGTGTGGTCCCTGGAGGTTTGGGAATAGTCATGTCTGCTATACAAAAGTATAATGCCATATACAGAAATGAAAACATATAAATATATGCAATAATAGGAGAAAATTTCATGTTGTAAAAATTCTTTATAAAGGATTTCACAGTGTTACTTTAACTATCAAGTTCTCTAAATATATTTAAAACATGAGTAAAAAATATATTTATGGTACAGCTTTTCAGGAGTTTGCATGAAGCTCAGAAACTTGCATCTGTGGAGGTAAAGGTGTGTTGTTAACTAAACAAAGGAAATGGGACACTGATTGCCTGTACCATAGCTGAGAAGGAAACAGGATGGATTGGATGGAAGAAGTTTTAATAGATTCTGCCTCTCTTCTCAGTTCTCTTTACCCCCTTTTAAAAATGTGCATCTGTGGGCCGACCCCGTGGCGCACTCGGGAGAGTGCGGCGCTGGGAGCGCAGCGGTGCTCCCGCCACGGGTTCGGATCCTATATAGGGATGGCTGGTGCGCTCACTGGCTGATCGCGGTGCGGACGACACCAAGCCAAGGGTTGCAATCCCCTTACTGGTCACAAAAAAGACAAAAAAAAAAACCCCCAAACAAACAAACAAACAAAAAAAAATAGTGCATCTGTGCATGGAGAAGAACTGGCTTTTTTGGGGCAAAAAAAAAAAAAACCCCAAACAAACAAACAAAAAAAAATAGTGCATCTGTGCATGGAGAAGAACTGGCTTTTTTGGGGGTGTGCTTCATATTTTTCTGTCTGTCAATGTGAGGAGGAAATATAAATAAATAAAAGGAGAGATAGTAAAGTAACACAGATAGGATCAATTATAACTTGTGGAACTAATACGAGTATGTATAAAAAATTGTATACAAAATTATAAGCTATATTATTTATGTCACATATAGTTTTTGTTTCTAGATAGCCACTGTCTTAGTCCATTTGGGCTGCTGTAACAAAATAAACTGGGTGGCTTATAAACAACAGAAGTGTATTTCTCACACTTCTGGAGTCTGGGAAGTCCAAGGTGAAGGGGCTGGCAGATTCAGTGTCTGAAGAAGACCTGCTTTCTGGTTCACAGGTGGTGCTTTCTCGCTGTGTCCTCACATGGTGGAAGAGGGAAGCTCTCTCTGGGTCCTCTTTCTTGGGGGCACTCATCCCGTTAATGTGGGTTCTGCTCTTATGACCTAATCACCTCCCAGAGGGCCCTGTCTCCTAAAGCCCTCATATTGGTGACTGGGTTTTAACATATGAATTTGTAGGGGGACACAGACATTCAGACCATAGCATCACCTGTGTTTTAAGGATAACTCTGGGTAATTAATTTCTTTATGAAAAAGTATTCATCATCTGGGAACTGAACTTACATCCTTCTGGATTTGTATTGTTGGAGGTGGGGGAAGATTGATAGTAACATGAGGCATGTGAATACTGCTTTTGAAATATTAGTTTGATAACTGGATGCTAAACTGAGGTGTAGTTACAGTTGAGAGATGTGATTATTTAAAATGCTGATCCAGGTGGAAAAGGTATGAAATGCTGCTGTGGAGCAAGGAGATAGCATTGTTTGGCTTGGCACTGAGGCCGAGGGTCACTTTCTCTTCAAGTGTAGCAGTTCTGCTTTCAGGTGGGAGAGCCTAACAGTGCTACAGTTTTAATTTAAAGTGTGGTCTGATATCCAATAAAAGACTTTAAACATTGGTCTTTGAGGTGGAGATAGGAGAAATCAATTATATCATAACTAACGTTGCTGATCCTCTTTCTTTTTGGCTCGAAGAAGCGCAGTTCACTTTTAGATGAATTGGAAATAGGATAGAAAGTAGAACATCGTGTGCATTCAAATACCTGATTTGTTGTGGCCATTAAAAATAAAGCAATCCCCCTTTTACAAAACATGTTCACATTCATGAGTCTTTAGCAGACGAAAATGTCTATTTCAGGCCTACATAATTTTATTCTCCCAAGTATGTTTGGAATGCCCTTTCTGGTTATAAAACAAAAGCAGAAAATTGATTTCAACTTTCACATATTCATATCAATTAATGTTTTTCATGATACTTCAGGCTACTGTTTCCATGAGATGCATACCTTCATTTTGTAACTTTAAGCACACGTCATGTTTTCACTATTTTAAGTGAAAAACAAAAACAGATTGTAGAGCAGTGTGTATAGTATGATCCTTTTTTCTTTAAAAAAATGAGGGGTTATGAATGTGTGTGTATGTTTTTGTGTATTTGTATGCACAGAGGGAAAGGCATTTTAACTTTGGGTACCAAAGGGTGTGGGGACATGGAAGGTTACTCTTTTAGACATCTGTATTATAGGACTTAAAGTCAAGCATATATTGCTTTTGTAGTTAAAAAAAATACTGCACAATAAATTTGATTACCACATCCCCAGCCCCACACGTCCTGTATACCACCCATGGGAAATCTATTTCTGGCTTTTATTCTCATAATACTCCTGCTTTGCTTTTGTTAGGGGTTGCTGCAAATTGTTTAGCTGAATGCCCAAGGCTGAGTTCAAATGACGTGCAACATTTTACTGTCGTGTACTTCACTCTGTTTTTAAATTTTTTTTCCAGAAAATGAATATGTACTTCCAGAAGATCTCTTTTATATTCTCATAGTTTTGTTTTATAAAGTGGGTGACCACCTAGGACGATCCATGACATGAGCGTACTGAGCAGTCATTTGTGTGGTCAGAAGCTGTGGTTGATAAGGGGGCCAGTGAACAGAAGGACTCTTGGTCCAGACTTTTGAACTCGGGAAACACCTGCAGCCTTAGCAACGTCCTGTGTGAACCAGCTCTAGGTTGGGGGCCTCTGTTCCTCCATCCAGGCATCCATTTTCCCTTCCTCACCATCCCCCCACGTATCTAGAAATACAAACTAGTCCTCACCTTCACAGATCTCCCCTGAGGGATTGCTTCGCCTCTGGATATGAGTTGTCAACTCCCTAGAGCATCTACACCCCTAGTGATCCTCTGGATCTGCATCCAGCTGCCTCTGGAAGTAGATTCCCTTGTGATCCTGTCATAGTAAACCTGAAGCACTGGGTAGGAGAGGGTTTTTGGAGCTAGTCAGAAATGTCAGGTTGTGTTAGGATATGTTTGTTGCAGGTAGCAGACACCCAGCCCAACCTGGTTTAAACACTAAAAGGAGATTTATTCACTTGTATGCCTGAAAGTCCAGAAGTAGTTCTGCTTTCAGAATTGGTTTGATTTTGTGGCTCACTGGTATCCCTAAAGACTTTGTTTCTTACTATCCGTCTGCTTTGCTGTCCGTGGCTGTTACAACATTCTGAGACTTCAGGGTGACAAAGCAGCTACTGCATTCCAGGCTTTGCATTCATACACCGTGCTGTCTAGAGGGAAGGAGGATTCTCCTCTTCTAGCATTCCAAGTCAGATTCCTGACACTTGTCCTGGTTAGGCCACTTGAGTCACACAGCTCCTCAAACCATTGACTGTGGCCGGGTGACAGGAAGGAGCTGTGTGGTTTAAGAAGATGATGTCCACCCCTAGGACTGACTGGGGTCGGGTCAGTTTTTTCGGAAGTAGATGGCTTGTGTGTGAGGGGTGGGTACCTAAGCAAATACATGTGTCAACATACCAAGAAGAGGGAGGGGGAATGGATGCTGAGGAGGCCCCCTATTGTAAACCCCTCATCATTTGGTTGGGGTTTTTATAGGGATTCTGCAGTGAAGTGGCTTTACTGATGATACCAGTCTAAAGGACGTGCAGCATGGGAAGCATTTATCATTTCAGTTCTAGGCTCCAAGTGCCTCCAAAGGCTTCTTGGATTAGTCTGTTGGTGAACTGCTAAAGGCAGGGAAGAGTAAATTGGTTCCCCAGGAACTCTGGGGCACAGTTGAAGTTTATCTACTTTAGGGAAATTTTGCTAAAATCTTTGCTTCTAAAAGTAATTCAAAATTTTATTCTTTTGTGTAATACGTATGGGTTTGTTTTAATCTAATATAGTCCTTGCAACCCTTCTTTGAGTAAAATGCATACTCCAGGAATATCTGTTCTTCCCTTTGAGGCAGGTTCATATACTTGTTTAAATAGCACTGAGGGCTGGCCAGTTAGCTCAGCTGGTTAGAGTGCAGTGTTGTAACACCAAAGTCAAGGGTTCGATCCTCATTACTGGCCAGCTGGGGGAAAAAAAATAGCACTGGATTGGTTAAGCCATTTGTGGCCTGGCAGTCTCCAAATCTGGGACAGTTCCAGATGTTGATGTGGTCTTTGCAGTTAAAGCTTTGGGCTGTTCGGTGGGAGATGGAGAAGGATCAGGTGAGATGAGATAGAGGGAAACTTTGGACTAGGGATAACACGCAGGGTCAGGGATTGTTTGCTTTTATTCCTTTCGGCAGAGTGTGGTTCAAGCTGGGACCAGCTGCAGGACATGCCATTGGGTCTAGCTGGCAGTGTGGGGTTAATGGCTGGGAAATGCTCAAATGCTGGTTGTGACATTCCTGAGCTCAGCTTGTCTGTATGCTTTCTGTCCT